CGTCCTCTGCCTCTTTGCCAGCCGGGGCGAGCAGCCCGCGCTACATCAGCAAAGACTGGCGGGGGGTGCCCAGCCGGCTGGACGCTGCCATGGCCGGCAGGATCTACGTGGCCTCCCAGCAGCCTCGGAGGAGGAAGTCTCGCCGCCAGCGCAAGAGGTACAAGAGCCACCGGTCACTGAATTTGGGTTTCTGGAGCTGGCTGCAAAATGACTCTGACTCTGCGGGCATCGAAAGCGACTGGCTGTCGGGCTCCCAGTGCGAGACCCTCCAGAGCGTCTACTTCTTTGTAGGAGGTGAGTCTGGGGTGGCAGGATCCGGAAGAGATGCGGGTCCGGGGGCTGACAGGGCAGGGGGAGGTCTCCTCTCGCTCCGCGATGTCCCCGAGCTCCAGGCGGCTGTCTGGGCCCCCAGGCAGCCACAGCCTCACCACGGGGCTTCCCAGCATCTGCTCGCTCCCCTCGGCAGACCCGCACCTGGGGGATGCTGCAGCCAGCCACCTGACCCCCCTTTCTGTCCCACACCTCCCAGGGCAGCCAGTACTGGCGCTTTGATGACGGAGCCCTGGACCCTGGGTACCCACGCGACATCTCCGAGGGCTTCGAAGGCATCCCAAACAGCATCGATGCGGCCTTTGCCCTTCCTGCGCACAGCTACCATGGCAATGAGAGAGTCTATTTCTTCAAGGGTAAGGGGCGCAGCCCCCCGCTCCCGGGCAGAGCCATGGGCAGGAAAACCCTCTAGCTACTGCTCCCCCCCAAATGCGTGTCCCCCCGCTAATGGCCTGTGCATCCTCTCCTAGACAAGTACTACTGGTCCTACGACTTCGCCCACCAGCCCACGCAGGCCGACTGCGAGAAGTCCTCCCCCTCAACCGTGTTCAACCACTACGCCTTCATGAACCGCGACAGCTGGGAGGACGTCTTCCAGATCCTCTTCGGCGGCAGGATGAGTAAGGGCTGGGCCCGGCCCAGGGGAAAGGGCCGGCAAGTTCCAATACAGACGTCACCCTTTTTTGGCAGGTGGGAGGAGCTGCCATGGCGGGCAGGAGCCCGGGCTGTGCACAGGAACCCCCCAGGCTATGGCTGCATCTCCCACAGCATCCCAAATCCCACCCTCTGCAGCCTTTATGCCCCCCGCTACCAAGCCCGTCACCTCGCACCACAGCGTCACTGCTGGGGACTGTTTATTCCCACTGGAGCTGGAGATGCCGTAGGAAAACCCCAGCCCCGGGCAAGAGAAATGAAAGATGGAGAGGGGGAGAGGGGGGCTCAGCAGCACAGGGCTGATCCCGGCCAAGGCGGGCGTGAGGGGCTGCTCCTGGCTCTGCCTGGCCCGTGTCCCCGTCACGCATCCCATCCAGGCTGGGACCCTTTGGAGCATCCCCCCGGGCCTCGGAGCAGGTGCTGGGGGCTGTCTGTGGGG